TAGTATCGAAATAGTATGGAAAGGTGCTAAAGAGACAATAGAAATTTTGAAATATACTCGTAACATTTATTCTCCAATTTATTAACATCTTGTACGTGTGTATATGTGTATGTGTGTATATATCTGTTTGTGTGTGGATGTAACCACGTGTACTTGTAAGCGTGTATGTCACTATTTCCATCGCCTTTGCTGGTTTTTTTTCCTTTAACACTTCGGATAACATTTTAACTTATTGTATTAAGCTGCCCGATAAACGCTCTATTCGATATCGATCGATCGATTATGCGCTGATCGGTAGTCGGGTGGATTTTCGATCGATCTCTAGTAAAAAAAGAGCCATCGACGTCGAACAGAACATTTGTTCGGCTTTCGAGTTTTATTCCGGTGGCCGACAGAACGAGGTCGTGTTAATATTATTTGTCGAACATAAATTCAATATGTTAATTCTCTATTTGTTTTTCTAATTGATTTTTGTAATTAATTGGATCGAGTGACGTTCGATTTGATAATGGCAGCAGATAATATTCTAACGAAAAAAAAAGAGAGAGAAGTCAAAGTTTACATTCCTTCAATAAACTATGAACATATGCAATAAAAAGCTGAGTTAAATATATCGCGAAGGATAAAAAATAAAGAATTTTTTTATTTCAATAAATTATGTTTGATGAATTATGGTGATATTTGGATAGAATTTCATTAGCCATATGATTCACCAATTTCTAATTTTAGATGTAAGACATCGAAAATTGTCATGTATTGCACGTCATAGTTTTAACTTTTTTTACGATATATACGACGATAAAATATATATACATACATATACATTCTTCTATAAATTCTATAAATTATCGTGTATTGTGTGGCAGTTAACATATTACACGTCGATTGCTTTATCAAAACACCCTTTGCGTAAAGTTTTCTTTTAGTTAACTCTATCACTTTCCTATTAATATACATATGTGTGTGTGTTTTTACTACACTCTTAAAAAATACTTTTTTGGGAAAATATATTTTGTAAATATCTTACAGTTTTATCTCTTATAGGAATAATAATTGTTAAATATTTTTGAGTGAAAATGAGAGTTATACTTTTAATTTTAGAATATTTTGCATTTGTTTGTTCAGAGATTAATATATATATTTTATAATTATTAAAATATAAATGTATACGTTAGAGTCAGTATGTTTAAACACATTCTTTCTACAAAAATAGGCCCATCTATATTAAAATACATAGACGTAAAATACATAAATGCACAATAATATTACAATTTAATTCGAAATAAAAAATTAAATATTATTATGTATGATAAATTATTTTTGTTTTTTTTAAATTATTACTTCGACAATCAAGCTTCGAATGATAAAATTCTGTACAAAATTTTAATATTACGTATTTAAACGTTATATACATTTTTTTAAAATGTTTCCTGATTTATTCTTGCATAATAAAAAAATAATTGAATTAAATATTATACTTGTCTTAATTAAATAAAAAACTTTGTAATTAAATAAAAAAATTTTTAAAAATTATAAATATTATTATATAAATATTGTTTGAAATGAAATATATCGCAATCGAGAAATACAGCGAAACGTAATATATATTTATATCTATTTTCGACATCGTCACTCGTGCCAAATTGTATCAAACACACCGTCACCCCGTTGTGTCGGTCGACGAAATATATATCTCTATACCGTTTTTGAGGCCGTTGCTGTACGCTGGTTTTCGTTATCATTTGTCTCGCGCACCCCCGCCAAGCCCACGTCACGTTCTCGCAATTAATACGGTTCGCAATGGAACTATTTACAAAACGAAACACTTAACGACTGTGCCTGCATTTAGTTTATCGCGAGCTAAATTTTCAAGTCGTCGGTTTTTGTTCCTTTTCCTTGTTCTACGATAACGCAATTAATGGGCTTATGTAACACGCGCATCCTCTCATTATCAAGCCGACACGTTCGCACGGATTCTCACATCACCGAATTTCAGAATTGCGGCTTCTGAGGGACCCTTCTTGAGTTCTAGATTAGTGATTTAACTGAAATTTCGTTTCTAGAAAATGGTGCACGTTTCAAAGACGCACGTTTGCATTTCGCTAACTATAAAACTAAATTTAAAAGCGTCGAATCGTTATGTCTCCTTTGTTTCATGTTCATTTTCTTGGATGTAATTAGAAAATTTAATAAAATTGATAGATTGAATAATCTTTAACATATATTATTACAATAACATTCTTTAGATAGTTAATGATTCGGCGTGTCTAATTTAAAGAGAAATTTAAGTTTATCCTTTTTTATTTTTCGAAACATTCTACAATACAACATGAAGCGTATAATGTCATGTAAGAAAATTTAAATTATTTTTCCGAACAATATATTTACAGTGGTTGAAAAATGCCTCTTTATCATTTTATATTTACATTTGCCCTAAATTAGCGTTACAAACGTGCGTCTCGTGCACCTATGTGAGAATAGTGAACGCTTAAATGTAATCAGATACAAGTCGCAAAGATAGAGTTTTGTTTTTGTAATAATGGGTAGAACATACTTTTTGGAAGGAATGAAATGAAAAACTTCAGACAAGGCTGTTACATGTTTCGCTAAAGAATGGCGAAAGAAGACGCATCTGACCAAGTTTAAACCTGAAGAGATTTATAATAGATAAAAAATATGAATTTTCGTGTACATATACAAAATGTAGCAGAAAGGATATAGTATTTTTTCCACAAAAATTGAAAAAATTGCCAAAGCTTTAATTTATATTATCTGTATTATATATACAGGGTGATTCATTTATACATTATTCATTCACTATTATTATATTATTCATTCACTATTAAGTTATTTAAAACAAATTCTTTGAAGGTGGACATGAATAGTAAAAAAGCTGTTAAAGAGAACACTATATCGTGATAATTCTATTTATGTATAATGATTCACCCAGTATATATCGAAAATTATGTCAATCATGTATATTTGAAACGTAATATTTATTAATATATTGGATTTTAATATTTCTTTCTCACATTATTTAGAATCAACTCATACGCTTCTTATAAATTTATAGAAAGAAAAACGCCGATAAAAAATATATAATTGATATCAGAGTTCAACTCATTAAACTCATTAAGATGATTTTCAAAATATATATAAGCGAATAAAGATATTAATTGAAGAAGACTTTTTGTCAATTTCTATAAAACTTTACTTTGGCACAATCCATATAATAAATGGATCTAACGAAAGAAATATTAAGAATCAATAAAGAAGAGTAACTGTTGATTGATATCACGCAACGAGATCATAGTAAAAATAATAAAATAATTTCTTCTTAAATAATGCTTCGCGAATTAATCACTCGAAACTTAAATAATATTTTTAATAGAGTTCTGAAGAGATAATTCTGATTATTACTTTTGACGATGAACGTTTTTGTCGATATCAATCAACGGGAAAAGAATGCGATATTCTGAAATGAGGAATTCGGGTTGAGAAAAGTACAGTCATGTATATAGAAATGCTTAGTGAGTCTTGACGCGAGTTGTAGTAACGGCTCCTTACTCTTAAAGTATCTAATGTCGAAGAGTAGAAAAATTATAAAAGTACGAAGGTCTATGATCGTTAATATGAGAGAGGTTCCGTGCGACCGCACCACTGCGGTTCTTCTTTTTTCATCTATCTATCTTTAGAAAATATATACGCGTAATGTAAAATACTGTTTTCGAACAAAGCGCTATTCTCTTGAGCCAAAACGATCGATTGAGAGATGTAGTTATTTACCAATAGCAAGTGGCTGAGATTCTCGTTTCGGATAAGTTTAAAAAGGCTTTAAGCAAAGAAAATCTAGAATTTAGACGCAACAGAAGATTTCACGACAATTCTATTATTACGATGCATCTTTCGTCTATTGTAATTACTATTTTCTATTTCCCTTCACTTTCTACTTCGTAAAATTATTTCAAATGTCTCAGTTAAAAAGGTGAAATCGAATCTAAAAAGAAAACGCGTAAACTTTTAGAACGATCAGATTTCCTGGCGACGTCGCGCGGAAACACTCCTAAAAAGGAGTCAATATACGAGGGAAGAGAGATGTTAAGGGAAAGAGTGACCGATGAAAGGATAGTCAGAAGAAAGTGTATATTTTTCTAAACGACGATGGAAGAAGTGCAGCAGAAAGGCACCGAGAGAAGGTTCACGTGGTTGTACGAACGTTGTAGAACGCTAAAAATCAATCGACACACGAACTCCCCGTGTACAGTCTCTAAAAAGTCTCTCGCATACTCTCTCGCCTCCACCCTGCTCTTTTTTTTATATACATATACACATGCATATATACGTTCCGCCCGCCTAAAGTCGCGCTAAACTATTCGGCACGCACTCACGCACGCATCCACGCACGCATTCATTCGCGCGTATATGTCCGCATGCACGTATCATGTATTCTCGGCTCTTTCTGAATCTTATACTTCAACTAGACACTGTTTGATTGTTACATTTTGGCAATTCGGCAGCACTCGCGAAGTTTTCAAGCTCCTTGTCTCGCGACTACTGGAGCGACATGCTGCACGTCACGCGCCGTTAAAAATTTTGTTCTCTGTTAATGAAAGTCTGATAGCGATTTATACTTTACACTTTGCTTTATACTTTAATCGAGGAATATAATTGCGCAGAAACTAGCCTATTTCAAAGTGAAATTTAACAACTATAGCCAATTCCATGTTAGATATCTTGCATTTTCTCTTGAAAAATTTTCAAGCAAATAGAATAGACAACAAATATGATAATAGAAAATAAATGATAATAATTAGACGATATATATGAAGAGAAATTCTAAAAAAAAAAAAATAATATACATCACAATAGAAAAAACGAACTAATGATGGTCTAATGCAGAAAAGGCGCAAATAAAAAAATCAAATCTTTATTAAAAAATTCTTTAATTAAATGTATTAAATTAAAAGATTTTTTTGAACAAAGATTTTGGTTCTTTTATTTGCGTTGTTGCATTTAGACTCTTATTAATTCGTTTATTCTTATTTTGTTGTAAAGATCAAGATAAATTTTTGTCTAATAATTATCATTATTTCGAAAAAATAATATTTATTCAAAACTTTCAAGAATTTTGATAGAAACTGCATTCGTCAGCGTGTCGGCGTGTAGCAAAGCGCACCTTCCGCGTTAATAATTCTGTTTTATTTTCCTACAGCTGCGTTCGCGAAAACTTCGCCCCCTGTCACTTTCTCGCAACGTCAATCGCAAGCGAATTATTGGCTCTTTGTACGCATATATGTATATATAACAATGATTCAATAAGGCATACGTATCCAATTAAGGACTTCTCCCTATTCGTCATGAAACCTTTATCGATTGTACATGTATCCCTAAAAGTTTGGACGCCTCTTTCTCTCTTTTTCTCACTCTTTCAAGAAACTTTCTTGTAATCTCTTAGGTCCGCAAAAGGTTGACGTTTTCACTTAATGGTCGAGAATAACGGATAGCCGTATATAAATTACTAAAGGGAATTACACGAGTATCTGTAGTCGCCCGAGTATACATTCTCTCGTGCTTCTTGCGTTAGCGGTTTGTTGGATTCATACCTCCGGGGCAAAGTTTGGAACGCAGCCAATGTAATATAAAGTCTCTTCTTCGCGTAGACGACGTTAGAGTCTCGCTCCCCACTGTTTTTCTGTCAATCGGGGAAAGGGATTTTTTTTTTCGCCGTCGTAAAACGCACGATCGTATATGTACACCTATCTAAAAGTAACGTTCGCAGAGCACTGCGTGCGTCGGCACCTCTGTTACATTATAATATATACCTCTTCATTTTATCCCCATTTTTATTATATAATAACTTGTCGGTTCGTCTCTTATTCATCTACTATACAAACTTCTGGCTAGAACAACGGTAGATAGTCCTCATGCGCTCGTTTTGCTTTTACGTAAATGTGTTTTACTGTATATTTTTTTCTGCTCTTATTTTTATTCATTTATCTCATCATGTGCCTGGAGGGGTTTCGCCGGCAGTGATATTAGCTTCCGCGGTAAAGTCTCCGGGATGATAGAGATAGAGGGATATTACGGGCCCCCTTTGATTAAACTACATTTTGTCTTCTTACCGAAAATAGACGCATATAAATTGCTCTCATCAACGATAAATTTCTCCCCATTATTATTTCCCTCTACCCTCTTTCTTTGTTTTCTTTACATCGTCCTAAAATCTTGATAAATTCGATTTTCTACCCCCAGCGAGTTTTTCGTTAGCTAATATCACTGAATTGACAGATGCGAAGAACGAAAACAATTTTCTATATAGTTCTCCTCAGAGATAATAAGTTTCTCCCTAAGTTTTTCTTTAAGATGAGATATATTACAGGCCTGATTACGGGGTATTTCTGCGTAAATATCCAATCGCTCGATATTCTAGCTCGATAGTAATTTGCTAAACAAACTTTGCACGGTGCAACTGATAAATAAAATAGAAATCTTTCCCTGTGACCGATGATTATCCTGTTTCCGGTTCCCCTCCATCGAGCACGGTTTATCTATCGTACGCAAGAGGGTTATAGACACGTACACGTACACCCAAAACCTTACAGAGCTTACAAGATTACACGAAATAGAAATACGTTTTGTTTTTCCACGTATTAGGGAGACGTCGGACGCGAAACCGGCGAATCGGCGATTTCCCGCCCGGAAAATTGCGGCATTGAAGATCGATTCGGCGATTTTGCGTCCGAACGAGAGCGCGTGTCGTTTCCGTTTTTCACGCTTCCCCTCCCCTACGTTTCTCACTCTTTCGTTTGCTCTCGCGTCGTTGACAATAGCATATTACACTGCCGTACAATCGAGTGTCACGCGCACGCATTATTATTGTTTTCGCGAGAAGCATCACGATCAGTCCAACGAGAGCTTGATTATCGTCGCGCTTGTATAAAAATAATTCCCTATCTCCCCCGCGACATCGTCGATCGGTGCCCCCTCGTCGCGGTTCCTTCGACTGTCTCCTGAGTTTCTCGGCTTCACGCTGATCGATTGGAACACGAGATTCTCCGCTCATTTCTCGGATTTTTTTTTGTGCGATATATATAATAAATCACCCTGCGTTCCTTGCGAATCCCAGATTCGGTTGCTCGAAAATCTTGCGATTTCTCTTGATCGGCATCGCGGGCGCCAATTGGGACGCCAATGGAATGTCCAAGCGAGGAAGTGCATTTGCTTGCTTTCGTTGTTAAATGAATCACGAATGTGCGTGTCTTGAGGGATGCTTGTACGAAGAGATGCGGCTGAGGAAAATAACGGAGCTGCTTGATTTTCTTCGAGACAAATGAGATCGCGATAAAGTATGATTCCAGATAAATCTGCGCGTCGCGATGCTGGTGGCTACGGGTCTACATAATTAAACTGAAATGTCAGATAAATCCGCCATTGTACGTATTGTTTGCCAACTTATCTTGGAAAGTAGACGGGCGTCTAAAATACGTCGATAGATAAAATCTTAGGTAGATTTTGCGAGCGTCTTCTTGCGGGTTCTTGAGACGGGCGTTTCTTTGGAATCGGCGAATAATCTGACCCGAGTTCAGATCGGTTGCAACGGAGAGTGTATACTATACTGTCGACGTGAAATTCGTTTCGATCCAGACCGCCTTAAGATGGGTTTGCTCCGGTTCCGGCTATGACCCTCGTCGCCGTAATATCGAAAATCTCCGATATTTCCCCGCGTTCGAGCAAAAATGCTTCTCGTTCTTTCACATGTTTCATCCGTTTTATGTTCCTCTTCTCCGTTCTTCGTCCATCATCGGTTAACTTTCTTGCTTCTTCTTTATTGCATTTTTTTAACGATATCTAATAGTATAATGCTTGTTTTTTAATTTTGTTGCATCAGAAATTTTTGAAACAATTTAATATCGACGATCGCTGCGTTATAGTTGAAACCTTCTACGGTAAATTCCACGTTTGAAATATATTTAATGACGAAAAGAACCAAAGAGAGAGATTACTGTGATATGAGTGGGCGGTTAAAGAATCGGATGATTAACGTTTTTGGGCAAATGATTTCCTCGGATATCGACATTCTGGATTTAGCTCCGTGCCTCGGTAAAAACAGGTCGAAGGACATGCTCACTACGAAAAACGCATTCTAAAAGAGCGTTTCTTGGGACCATATTGGCGGGATTGATGACAATGGCGCTGGTGGTGGTCTATGCTTCAGCTCGATCGGTGGTGAACACGGTGGAGATCCCATGCTACTCTGACTGCTACTGGTCGTCGTTGAGGCTGGTTGCGCCCTGTCATAGAAATTTATTAATTAATGAAAGAAGAATGAAGAGAGAAAGTTCTTTGTTATAAAATTACAGAAGAAAAAAAGAGAAATTTAAAGTCAGAACTAAAATGAATCGAAATAATCTCTTATAATTATTGAAAAAATAAAAAAGACTCATTTGACATTTAAATCACAGAAGAAAAGAGAGAAGAGGGTTTACAACTAAATAGAAACTAGAGCGGATTAAAATTGTGATTATTGATATTTATAAGAATTTGTTATCAATTATCAATAGCGAAGTTAGATTTCTTTTCCGTAAATTTGGAGGAAGAGAGAAATATTTTTTTTTACAAAGTCATCCTATAATATATAGGATATAGGATATAATATATAGGATGACTTTGTAAAAAAAAATATTTCTCTCTTCCTTTGAAAATTCGCAAGTGAGAATTTACCTGGAGGTTTCGACGGCGGCACTGATGGTCAAACATTCTTGGCAGGGTTTGCTACCGGCCCGTCGCCTGGGCACGCAGCCCGTGCATCCGTCCCACTTGTCGAGGGTTCGCTTTTTCTTAGAAGGCACCCGCAGGAAACGTCGACAGCTTGGCCCGGGCGCGTCCGAATCCGTGGAGAAACCCGAGACCTCGTCCTCCGTGTCGACGCACTGCTCCTCGTCCTCGTTTTTGAGGAACACGGAATCAGAGCCGAGCGATCTGGAGTCCGGATCGGGCGGGTCCACGCTGCCCATCGATGCCAACGGCGCCCGTCTGCCCGATGACCCCGCCATAAGGTTGCCGACCGCACCGGCATAAAGACCGACTTCGCTACCGCACGGCGATAAATCCGGAGTTGGCTGTATTACCTGATCATAATGCAAGTTCTCGATCAATTTCAGGCTTGTCAAAATAATTTCTTACATAAATAATTAACGCAGACGGATATCGTAACATTTTTAACTGCGCTTAAGCTTATATTTGAGAAAGAGATGGTAAATTTATTATCGTTACGATAGAATTGCAACGATAGCTAATCGAATTACGTTAGCAAGCTATAAAAATAATAAAAGAATAGACCAAGAAGGGAGATCAAATGAAGAATGCAATTTATTTTTCAATATCCGCGATCGAGAAAAGGATCGTCGTTCCTTTCCCGGAAAAAAAGCTAAGATCATCTCGAAAGAATCAAATATATGCGATTGCGAATACCAAGTCTACCTGAATATCGATGGGGTAATATAAGTCCCATGGTTCATCGTAGGTTGCGTGACGCGGGAAGGATGGAGGTGGCGGAAGGCACGGCATTACCATGGCTGAACCCCTTCGTTCCAGATAACTACTTCCAGTGCTGCTACAGGTGACCGAGCTACATCTTCTGTGATCGACGGGGAGAGCCAACCTCGGTTGTCTGATTGGCGGTGCCAACAGGGCGTCGTATCCACCTCCGACCGAAGCGAAGCGAGGCGCCACCACGGGTGAATGAGACTGGTTTATCTGGTTTAAACAGAGTTTCTATTATCCGATTTCACAAAAGGACGAATTAGCAGTCAATTACACACAAATTACAAGAATATCTTGAATTTTAGATAGAGAAAGAGAGAAGGAAAGAGAGAGAAAGAAAGAAAGAGAACGCGTTCCATTTAATAGATCGGCGATATATTTCTTGATTATTTCCATAATATTTAATATATATTTAAGCTATCATAGAATATATAGCTATATTAAGCTATATTATATATACCTCGACGCACAACGACCTTCTTGGACCGCGACCCGGTCTGGGTGGTAACCTGGCGATTGCCTCGAGAGCGGCAGCGAGTGCTCGTTCCTCGGCTTCGGCTTCGGCGACCGCTGCTGCCGCCGCCGCGGTTAATGCCGGGTCCTCCAGTTGTTTGCTCGCTTTGCACCTGATAAATATAAAAATTATATTTTCAATCAAATTACATTTTAATATTAATAATATCGAGAATGTACTACATTTCTTGTCCATAATAATTTATCATAAAATTCATAAAGTTAAAGGCTCCCAAAATTAACAAATTAAAATGAATTTAAGAGGCCATAAAGAGTCAACGCAGTTGTAGGGCGTGAAAAAAATTTTTTCCAAGGAAACAGTCAATTCATAAAGAAGAAAGATCGGTTGAATTGACTGTTTTCCTGGAAAAATTTGTTTCACGCCCTACAACTGCATTGGCTCTTTATGGCCTCTTAAATTCATTTTAATTTATAATAATTTATTTATTTTAAACAAAAATATTAAGAAATATATTATTTGATATTTTTTGAACTACCCGCTTTCTAAAAAAGAAGCGACTTTTTTACGAATCGCATTTTACATCGATAAATAGATAACAATAAATAAAATAGATAAAATCAATAATTAAATAGAACATTTCTTAATTTTAGATGAACAGTATCTTTTTTATTTGATAACATGTATAATCGTTAAATATTAAAGCTACAAAGATATATCAGCATAATATTAAAGTTAAAAATACATCAATTACATCATATAAAGTTAAAAATACATCAATTACAAGCATATACGTGTAAAAAAAAATAACTTTTCTCAGTTTGATATTTTTGGGAATAATTTATTTTTTAAATTAATCACTCAATTATCGCGTAAATTAAGGTAGAACAAAAGCTATTATTTGCGACTGGGATCACGCTTGCGAAATGTTGAGATTAATAATCACCTGCTCTTGTAAACTACCAGTATCACCATTAAACTGAAGAAGCCGCCGAGGGTCGCGGCGATCCGTACCCCCGTCATGACATCGTACGTTTTGTAGAATTCGATTTTGAGCTGTTCGCGCTCGCTCAGAGTCGGCGTTGCATCTGGCAGGAACGTCGTCGGATCTGTCGTCGTCGTCCCTGTCACGTTGCTGCCGACACTCCCCATTCCTGCAGATCAAACAGATTCACTTACGTTACTTACGCACGAATGAACAGCATACGCACGTTTTGCGGACTGGAAGTGAATACTGATTGTCTGGAAATTATGTTTGAGACGAATGCGCGACGTCTGTAAATTGTCTGCGAACATTTTCGAAAAGACAAGCTCTTCAATTTTAAAGTTTGCAAGAATCCTCCCGTAAAGTGAGTCTGCGTTTTGCGAAAATGAAGCATAGCGGATGAATGATCTGGTCTTTTTCATCTGTTTTGCTTTTCAATTTAATTGTAAACTGGCGGCGATGACGAAGGAAAACAAAATGTTGAATGAAACAGGCATGAATAAAGGAAACTGAACTTTTGAATATTTTCGGGAGGGTAAACGCATGAACCGTAAATCACAACGAGAATTTTTGTTTACCGAACTGTGTCGGCCAATGTACTCTGGCTGGGCTCGAAAATGGACTGACGGCGCTGAATTTCCTGGAACAGAACGAAGGCGCGCCGTCAAAAGGGATGCTTTTGGCAAATTCACCCAGCAGGATTTTGCATTGTTTCAAAAAATAAAAAGGAGGCAAGATCAGGCGCGAGGAAAATTTATGTAGAAAGAAGACCGGGAAAGAGAGGAAGAGAAAGAGTTTAAAGAAAAAGGAGGAGAATCGCACAAGCATTGAGCAGTCGACGGAGAAGATGAGAGAATGATACACATTGCTCTCTTTCCCTCTTCTTCTCTCTCTCTCTCTCTCTCTCTCTCTCTCTCTTTCTCTCGTTGAGCTTGGCCGGCCAGCATTATGTACGTGGAGACGGTTGTAGGTTCATGTATTGATTCTAGCCTACCGATTCTAGCCTTCGCAAGCCCTACCTCCAATGGTTAGAAATAATGATGCGGCAGCTGAACGAATTTATTAAGCCTAAAATTTGTTATCGTTTATATCATCCAACTTCTTGGTAGCTTAAAATTATAGCTCGAGATATATCTAAATTGAATACTGTTTGCGGGTGGGAACAATTAAAAAAGATTTAAGATAAAGATTAACGTTTCAAAGCGTAATTTATCTCTTCGTTGTTGGAACGCGACGCCGTCTGTCGTTTGCGAAACGATTATCATAAATATATAATATGGAAAGCTAGAGAGTCATTTTCTAAAATAGATGGAATTTCTTTTAATAAGAACGAGAGAATGGTTGTTTCTTGATGCAATTGCTTTCAATTTTCGCGATCGTCGAGTCGCAAACTCGGGCAAGACAGGTTTTCATTCAAAGAGAACGTAGGGGATGTAATTTAATGACGTAAGAGTGTGCGGTTGAAAGCTCGATAACTTCAATATTTCAAATCACATGGAGAAATATCATTCAATATTTCAAATTACTCGAAATATCGGGCTTTTAAGACTGAACATTTGGACGGAATTTAATAATAATAAGCGTCTTCGTTTGACTAATGATTTGATAAATAGATAGCAATTGACGGAAGATAACGTCGCTCTTGAAACCTCGCCTCCTTCCATTGATTCAACGTCCTTAATCACTCGCGTTAGGTCGAGTTAGGTCAGACGACAACCTGTGGATGCTCCACGTTCGAGAAGATTGTTCCATGTGCTCTCACCAGCCGTATCCCCGTAAAATTAACGGCGCGGTAAATCCCCTAGGGAGTTTCAACCTACAGAATTCTCGCCACGTAACAAGAGCTATTTACTATTTGCCGCACACAAGACGACCGACAAGGAGGGTTTTACGCAGCGCGACGTGAAATTACAGCCGCGACATTATTTCCTTTAAAATTTCCTGTAACTAGTACATTTTCTCTGTATCTCTCTTGTTATTACATCGCTTGTTAATAATTGTCGCTCGATATATCAGGATGTTCCAGTCGAAACGGTTTAACAAGGCACTTTTTATTTATGGATTTTTGGATTGAAATTAATATATTTTTTTAAAAGAAAAAATGTGCCAAAGAATACTTCGCACGCACATTTTTTCCTAATTTTCGATTTTTTGTTGATTAGATATTTCTGCAACTAATTCTAAAAAAAAATACAAATCCTCTTCTTTTATGTGATTAATTTTTAATTTGTGAATTAATCGCGGAGATATTTTTGAACATAAAAAATTGAAAATTTGCGAAATAATTTTATCTGATATTTTCTCATCAAGAAAATGCATCATCAAGAAAAGATCGATATCAAACCGAAATCTAGAGATGAAAAGTTAGGTCAGAGATGTGGAGGGTGAGAAGCATGAGAAGTAAGCACTTTATTATACGAAAATTCATCTCTTGGGGAGGTTCATGCATTTTTCATTATTCTAAAATTAATTTCTTGAAGAGTTCGTGTATTTTACACGCCGCGGGTTCGCGTAGCGGAATAAATTTTTTCGTCCATAATTTGCATTCATAATTGACTTTTTTTTCTCCCTCATTCGGCAAATGGTTACAAAGTTATTTACCCAGGCAATTCTATGCGATGCCACGCGCGAGATTCGACGCTCTTGCATCACACTTTTAATGCCCGCATCGAAGTACATAACGAGCGATTGAGCGATATCGACTTACGCGTTACCCGTTATGCGTTCTCTAACGATCGCGACCTGCATCGTCGAATGAAATTTTGACGGGAATTACCTGGGGTAGATTCTGCGCGCATGTGCTATTACGCGGCATTAAATTTGCGTACAATGCAACCCGAGAGTCTACCAGAATAGCAGAGAGTATAATATGTTAGATGGTTGAGGTATATATACATAACATACATATATATTATAACCAAACGCACGTTTGTACGTACCAGCAAACATACCGAGACCGTTCGTCGTCGCTCAAAGAAAGTAGGCTAATCTGCGCCTTTCGTCCTCCTATCTCCCCTTCTCATCATTTCACATCTTAACGATAGTCGAAGTGATTCGAGTTTGCGGACATTTTCGAGAATCATTTCGTCCGACTTAAAATTCAGCGCTCATCGCGATTACCAGCTTGTTCCACAGTGAAATCGCAGCTTGGGGATGCTTGCTCGAGTTTCATTTTAAAAATCCGGAGAATGTATAAAAGCGTTCCATTTGTGCCTGGCGAGAGAATATTTTCAGATCTTGAATTTAATTAAATAAAATTTGGATAATTATTCTCCGAGACTGAAAATGGGGAAAATTCCAACATTAGAGAAGATTAGATTGCATTGGCAAGGATAATTTTATGTACAATATGCACGGAAATATTGTTTAAATTAAATTAGAAAAAAAAGTAAATTGTTTTATTTTTCTTTATCTTGATATTCACGCGTTTCATCAGCGCTTGCTGATAAAATTATCCACGCTGAATAGTCTTTTGAGGAGCTTTTTTTATTTCGTTGGAAGATTATAACTCTCTGATGTACAAACACGCACAAATTTTTTAATTGCGAAAGCAATCATGTCAATTTAATCCCTTACACACGTATTCATCCGTAGAATTGGGCATTATTAGAATAAATTTTTTTTTTAATGGGTTACTTTTGAATAAAAAATTTTATTCGCGAAAGAGACGAAACTTTTACGAAGTTGCGTGTCGAAAGGTCTCGTCGCGGTGGAAACGTAACTTTCTGAAACGCAAATTTGCGTTAACTTTCGCGAGCGCGACGTCCAAGGCGTATCGACGTCCGAAAACTTGGTCCTGGTGAAAAGAAAGTTAGCTGTGTGCACAGGTAACTTTTAAATATTCCGCGAAATTGCTGCGTTGACACGTCAAATATCGCGGTGTAAAGAGAGAGAAAGGGAAAGAGGGAGGAAGAAAATCGAACAGTTTTCCGTTCGATTTTTTTCGCGAAAGGATGTATCGAAGTCTTATCGCATCCTGCAAATGCCATTTTTCCTCTTTGACGTCTGGTGGGTACGCGTTATCATATTTCCACGTCGGCAAACGGTCAAAAAAGGGCTGGCGACATTGGGTGAAAGTGGGTCGCCCGATAATTCGTCCCCTCGAAAACACCGTTACGATATATGTATGGATTTGGGTTAACTTGGTTTCGGCGATTTTGTAGTCGTATCGCGCGCGAATCTTCCGTTTGGGAGAGATACATGCTTGGAAACAGAATATAAAATTCTTTGTTAAACTTTCACAACTTCATATAATGTTTCGTAGTTCTTATCGTTTAAAAATATTAAAAATTTGTTTTTTAAGTAATTTTACAAGAATATACATATATTTTTTATTTAAAGATATATAAAATTATAACATATATAGAAAATACATAATTATAAAATACATTATAAATTGTCTTCTTTAATAAAATATATATGTATACATGTTTTATTAAAAAAAGCGTCATGTGTTTTACTAAAGTATAAAAAGATATTAGAATTATAATCCATATAATATTTGCACGTTACATATACCATAATTTTTAGATCGTATAAATTTATCTTTGGTCTCACATTTTATTTTGTATCAAACTCCATGTCAGTCAACAACTTATCGTAATTTGTTCGTATCCCGAAAGCAAATATTTTCTTTATCAGAGAGTTTTTTTTCAGTTATTCAAAGTTTTAAATTATCATGTGCCAACGTTTTAAGAGCGTTATATATCTACCAATATATGATTTATATATCTATGGATTGAATACGTGATGCAATAGAGTTTTCAAATCAAAATGAAAAATAATTAAAATCTTTCTTTATTATATAAAAAATTGGACATCCTGAATACATACTATTATTAAGTTAAGAAGAATGCATCTGCAACGCTATTTGAAATTTGATGAGATCCTATTGATGCATGAACGACTGAAATATTTTTCGTCGCCAAATATTTTCCGCAGGTATCACTAAAAAATATCCTAGTTTACTTACTTTGACAAAATCTGATTGCATTTGTCGATACACATATCGAACCATTTACATATCCGATCACTCTGCCAATATGAGAGCAAAACCATTAAAAGAATATTCGATGAAGAGAGAGAGAAAAAGAGAAAGAGAGAGAAAGAAATGCGCGGACTGAGGCCGATAATTCGATCTCAGGAAAGCGTTCGTTTCCCAAGAGCGTC